GCTCGGAAAATCAGATTCCAATGCTTATACGGAGGAAGGAAGCGAAAGACTATGGTAAAACCTTCAAATTGAGAATTTGCATCTACTTGTTATCTCGTTGGGGAAATGACTTTTATGTATTTGTGGTTCTTTTGTAATGTGCAGCATCTCCATTCCTGTTTAAGGTCACCACTCCAATTCAAAAAGCAGCCTTGCTTCCCCCTCGGAAAATCAGATTCCAATGCTTATACGGAGGAAGGAAGCGAAAGACTATGGTAAAACCTTCAAATTGAGAATTTGCATCTACTTGTTATCTCGTTGGGGAAATGACTTTTATGTATTTGTGGTTCTTTTGTAATGTGCAGCATCTCCATTCCTGTTTAAGGTCACCACTCCAATTCAAAAAGCAGCCTTGCTTCCCCCTGTAGTGTACCTCCCACAGCATCCCAACCTGGTCAGGCTCTCCCAGCTCGTTGCTGATGAGGCTGCAGCTTGAATCCTGCTGTGATAGGGTTGGAGTAGGTTGGTTTGTGGGTTTTTTTGTTTGTTTCTTTCCTTCAGCAGGGTGTTTTTTTCCTTGGCACCATTACTATGGTTCTGGCCTATTCCAGAAACCAAGATTTATAACTTGGTTTCTCTGATAACGCTAAGAGCAGTGCCACATTTCACCCCCAGACAGATTTAGTTATTTATTTATTTTTGCGTATTGACTCCAAGAGGAACTTTATAATCTCTTCTTCGTTTACCTCTCAAACCTCTTTTTCGTTCCTGTCCTGTAGGTCTGTAATCAATGGGCAGGGTGGACGAGGTGAGAAGCAGTTCTCTACCCAATGAACCATTTATTTAAGTTTGGTAAAGGAAGGGGGAGAGAAGACTGAAGCATTAACCTACCGTAGCAAGTGGATTTCTACATGTGATAAGAGCTATACTCTGCCAATAGCATTTAATTAGAAAGTATGCTTGTCAAAACTAAACGTTACTCCTGTGTTAGCATGGCAGGCGTGAAAACATTTGTTGTTTGTTCTCGTGAAGGACAAGTCGATTGTGACAGCAGTTAACTGCCTGGCACGAGGTTTGTGGTGTGCTGGGGATTGCAAAGCTGTACATAACGCTTGTTCTCTAGGCTGTCATGGTCTAAGCACCGCACTTGCTGCATAATGTTCTCCTGCAGCTCTTCCTGGGAAAGCCAGGCCTCCTTTGTTGTTGCCCCCGGGAGGCCTTTCACGGGCGTGTGCCTGTTGTTGGTTAGGGCAAAGGCGTTTGGGGCTTTACTCCGCCTAATTGTTCTAACAGGCATATTGAGCGCAGAATACTGCCTGTGGAAAATAGGAAGTATGCTGAAGAGTACTGTCTGCTTTAAAGGTGTCTTAAATAACTGGAGAAAATAGTTCTGTAATTCAGTTCATGGCAATAATAACCTTCTGTAGTTATCCAAAGATTTAAGTTTGTGTGGTTAACAATATGTCACTTTTGTTAATGGAACATTACTTCTGGAAACATAAAGAAGTATTTTATTAACTTGGAAGAGTAACAGTCTTTATGAATTGAAGTACGAGTCAGTGACTGAGCTGTGGTAAGACCTGTGATAACTGGTACCAGGTAATAACTAAACAAATTGCCTCCCCGTACTGACAGCGAACGTGAGATTCCTATTCTCTTGAAATCCAGTTCCACTGGACTTCAGGGTGTGCTGCAGCACATGCTTGTATGTGGAACAAAGATGATCTTTACATTAGCATAGCAAGTTAAAGTTTTGATACTTTTAGGGTTTGTTGGGGGTCTTTTAAACTTTCTTCATTTAGTGGAGTGTTTGCCTTTTATTTTTAAGGTACTAAGCGGCTGGTAGAAGGCACCATTAATCCAGGAGAAACATGCTTGATCATTGAAGATGTGGTAACAAGTGGATCTAGTGTACTGGAAACTGCGGAAGTTCTTCAGAAAGAAGGATTAAAAGTCACGGATGCTGTAGTGCTGTTGGACAGGGAGCAGGGTGGGAAGGCCAGGTTGGAGGAACGTGGAATTCGCCTGCACTCTGTGTGCACGTTGTCCGGGGTGTTGGAGATTCTTCAGCAGCAGGGAGAGGTGGCTGTTGAGGTGGTTGAAAAGGTGAAGAAGTTCATTCAGGGAAATGTGTTTGAGCCAGCGGCTCAGAACGGCCCCGCTCCCGTGAAGAGGCTGTGTAAGGAGCTGAGCTTCAGCGCTCGTGCTGAGCTGCCGGGGGTCCATCCCGTGGCAGCCAGGCTTCTCGCGCTCATGGAGAAGAAGCGGACAAACTTGTGCCTTTCTGCTGATGTCACCAGCTCCAAAGAGCTGCTGCAGTTAGCTGCCATCCTGGGCCCCAGCATTTGTGTCCTGAAGACTCATATAGACATTCTGAATGACTTCACCCAAGAGGTAGTAAAGGAGTTGAGAACACTCGCAGATCAACATGAATTCTTGATTTTTGAAGACAGGAAGTTTGCAGACATTGGAAACACGGTGAAACATCAGTATGAAGGTGATTATCATCAACCTTGATTTACCCTGACTTTGCTGCTGGTGTGTGTAATTGAAGTGCTGGCATAGATTGCCAGGAGAGGTGGTGGAATCTCCAGCCTTGGAGAAGACTCAAGGGGACAAGGCCGTGAGCAACCTGATCTAGCTCTGAAGCTAACCTGTCTGAGAGGGCATGACCTCCAGAGGTCCCTTCCAGCCTAAACCTATTTTTATGGTTGTTCTCAGTAAGTATTTCTGAGTAGTTATTTGCTGTGAGAAAATGCAGTGTGGCTTCTTAAGGCAGCCTGCTGTTGTACACCTGTGTACTCCTTGCGGCTTTCATTCGATGTTGCATTGGCAGTTGTAGAACAGTTTTACTCTTTTTCTGATCTGTCCGTCCCATACGACCTGCGTGCTGTATTGAAAGGTAGCAGCTGTGGCAGAGGCTTTCTGGGTTACCATAAATGTCTTGGTGAATATTAAAGGTGAGACACTAAGAACTGTCTGTGAAGAGTAAAACTGAGAGATTACACATTGTGGCTAGGCAGCCTTCAGAACTGTCTGATGAGACTGAACTTGTAACTGTCAACTTCAGTAGTAAAACTGCCTTTTAAAATGTAAATGATTTAGCATGCAGCTTGTTTTGTTTAACTTGTGTTTCCTGTTTAATACCTTTCTAATGACACTTTGCCTGTATCTTCCTATCTCTGTTCTCAGGTGGTGTGTTCAGAATCGCATCCTGGTCAGATATCGTTAATGCCCACGTGGTTCCAGGCTCTGGAGTGGTGAAAGGGCTGAAGGAAGTAGGTCTTCCTCTCCAGCGTGGCTGCCTTCTGATTGCCGAGATGAGTTCCCAGGGGTCGCTTGCAACGGGTGACTACACGAAAGCTGCGGTAAGCCGGCAGTCTTGTTCCGGGTTAAAAGCTTGTGAAGTGTGCCAGGGAGGTTCTGTGTGCTTCTAATATTTGCACATCCAAAAGTCTCTCCAGCTCTATCTATTACAGGTTTCTCTCCTGTGGAGACTCAGGAGCGTGACAGTGAGGGTTTAAAGGTTGCAGCTGTAGGCTAGTTGTGTGAGAGGGTCGGAGTTCACACTGTGAATTCTAGTAAACGTGCCACGCTTGCTGATAGCCCCCCCCCTTTTTTTTTTCCTTAAGCAATAAATTTCTAAGTAGTTTACATTCATTCATTGTATTAATTATAACATAGAAAGAAGCGTAACATTCACGTTCCTGGCTGCAAGTGCAGCAAGGTCAGGGAGGGGTGAGTCGGCTCTGAGCGACTTGATATTGGTAAAGCAAGAGCAGGTGTTCCGTACCGCTGCCTTGCACAGCTTAATGTGTCACAGGGTGGATGAGAAACAGATTGCTAGGCAAGCTTAATTTTAGGTATATCACTTCTAACTGTTTACTGGTCTTCTTCAGGTACAGATGGCTGAAGACAACTCAGATTTCGTTTTTGGATTCATATCTGGATCCAGAGTTAGTAATAAACCAGAATTTCTTCACTTAACTCCAGGGGTGCAGCTGCAAACTGGAGGTAACTTTTTGTGAAATATTTATAGTCTGTTTGTAAATACAGTAAATGATCTAGTCTTTGGTGAAGAAGTGACTTCTGAAGAGGGTTTGGTTGCTGATTCTCTGGTGGGAGGAGTCTGTGTTTGCTGTTATGGGCTGCCTTCCGTATTTCTGGGTACACTGATCCGTTTCCTGGGAGCTCTGAAAGGCAGCCAGCAAGCTACACAGCTTTGCTTGTGTCCCGAGGTCTGTGCATGCCATAAAGCAGAGTCCTTAAAACATGTGAAATATCTTCAGTTAAGTGTTAAGTTAGACGTACAACTACTCAATAGGAGTAGAAAAAAAGATTTTCAACAAATACAGAAGTCTAACTGTAACCCTGTTGAGACTGATATAGATGCAATATCAATGAACTGCAAGTTGTATACTGACTAAACAGGTTATCACTGAAACAGGTAGGAGAGAAGTGTTTCTGTGCAATATCTAATTGTCATGAAACCTGAAGTGAAATCAAGCTTTTACTTGAATGTTTGGGGGGTTTGCCTGTTTTAAGAAGGCTAAGGCTTATTTCAGTAATCCTAATTGGTGCTTCTTTGTGTAACTGTTCCATCTATTGTGACTGGTAAGTCATGAAAAAGGAGGGCACTCTGTCAAATTTGATCTGTGTAATAGGGGCTTCGTTAGTTGCAGACAGTTTCTAGTTCTGTTTGTGGATTGTTAGGGTGAGAGCTGGAACAGCATGCCTGTTCTCTCTTCCAGCACCTCTTTTTAAAAGTTTTTAGTAGATACAGTTTTGTACGAACTAAAAAAAAAAATGTGTCTCTCTTTCAGGTGATAACCTTGGACAGAAGTACCTAAGCCCCAAGGAAGTTATTAGTGAAAAAGGTTCCGATATCATTATTGTGGGACGTGGCATCTTGTCAGCTGCAGACCGTCTTCAAGAAGCAGAGAAGTACAGGAAGGCAGCTTGGGAGAGCTACTTGAGCAGACTTGGTGTTCGTGCAGAAGATTGAAAGCAGGCCCCTTTCCTAGTCAGCAAGGCTGATGGAGCTGCAATCATCCTGAGATTTCCAGTTAAAAACATAGACACTTCAGCTGGTAGAAAACCGCCCTTTTGTAGAAAAGGCTGTTACTGTTTTTAATTGCACGCACAGAACTCAAGTTGTACGTGCCATGGTTGTTTCTTTTCATATTTGAATGTATGAAAGCAAGACTTCATGACCAGTTTTTAGCCTTAATAGCTTTTCTCTGCTGAAGATCATTGCACAAAACACTCCAAGGGTAGTTGGTTGGCTGTTGTGGCTTTTGTTTCTTTTCTCCACCCTCAAATTCCTTCTGGCTGCAGAAATAGTATTTTACTGTTCCTGATAAGCTTCACCTGCAGACCCGACCTGCTGCCACACTCTCACAGGACTGCTCAGCGCTGCTGTTTCCAAGGAGCAAGTATGGGTCTTAATCCCACGCTGTGAAATTGAATAATTGTTGTTTAATAAATACATTATTTGCTACTGTCTTCCTTTATTTTGATCTACAAGTCTTCCTTCTGTGGCAGTGTGAAGTACTGTTTTCAGAACCCCATATTATAAAAAGCCTTTCTAGTGTGTTTGCAGGAATTACTTACGGTCCTTTTTACAGGAGCTACAAAGAATTTGTCATAGCAGCTGGTTGTTGTGTGCTTAATCAGTGTTGATTCCTCTAAGGAGAAGCAAAAAAGTGCCTCCTGCTTACTGACTTCTTGTGACAATAGCTGGAATACTTCCAGGGGTTACTTTCCACTCTTCACAATGAATAAGGGGAAGGAGAAATACCTTGTATGATTGGTTTTGATTAGAAAGGATGGAATAAACTTAAATGTATTTAGTGTATGTGTGATGGAAGCCAGCCTGAATTTTCTTTGCTATCAAGAAGGCAAAGACAAATGGTGATGCAGTTCTAGACTGTTGCTGTTCTGTGCTGATACAAAGCCCGCAGAGCAAGCTGGGTCCCTTTGTGACTACGCTTACCTGTAGACTAGGAACAACTCTGTCTAGCGAGAAGAGGTTTTTGGCATTAGTACTGGACTCTTCATGAAGCCTTTCAAAATAGGAAATTGGAGTTATGCTGAAGTTGAAAAGGAGTTTTTGTTGATTGTTGGATTGATCTATGCAGAGTGTCCCAAGACCAAGGGACGCAGGTTTGGATCTGAGGGCTTTACCTTATGCTTCTTCTATTTGTGACATTGCGATCTGCTGGCAGTCACACTTCAGAAAGCTTCAACTGAAAGACTTGCTTGCTGTCTGGGTGTGTTGGGGGTGATGACTTAACCCTTTTACCCTCCACGTGCTCTGGAAGTGTGCTTCCTCTCACCTTGATGAAGGGGCTGCTTATGGGGCTTAGGAGTTGGTTATTGTGGAGGAAATATTAGAACTTACTCTGTGGGTGTTTTGTTTTCCTCAAGGCTACTGTTTGCTTCAGTAGACTTCTCATGTATCATCATTGACATCTGGAGAACTCCATCCAGGGAAGTTGGAGGCTCTCTGAGCCAGCTTTCACAGCTGGAACTTCATGAGTGTGTTGTACGTTGTGCTGCCACTCTACAACAGTCTGTAAGTCGTGATATTTCCCATCAACTCCTTAAGAAGTTCCAGTCCTTCAAAATGGACAGATTTGGGATTTGTTTACTGTCTCCTCTTAATTATCTCATGGCCTTGAGGCCTGTAGCAGAAACAAGACTTTCTCACTTGAACTGTTTTGCAGAAAATTACTTTTTCCACCAGAGGGAGCTGAGACACTGTTTTTCAGGAGAGGCAACACCCTAGCGCTTTTACAGCTAATAGTTTCCAGTGACGGTACCAACTCTAGATGTGCTTAGGGTGAAAATTTGTTTGGTTTTCAACAAGTTACGCCCTTGCTGATGCCCTCATTTAGAACGGTAGTTTATCTGAAAGCTGCCTCAGGCTGGAGTTCAGCACTGTATGTCATTGTACGCTCACTGTTACAGCACAAACAGAATTTTGTGAGTCCGTTATTTTCTACTAACTAAGCCAAATTGTGTTAAGCGGGTGGCTGACATCCATGCAGCTAAATCCCTGAGCGGTCCCTTCTGAGAGCTAGTGTATCAGGCCTCTAGCTGAAAAAATAGCAACCGGATTTAGAGGGATGGGTGTGATGTATATTCAGTAACTTTTAGAGGATGTGTGCAACTCTTGTCATTACAAAACAAGTTCTGAGGATCAGATCAATTGGAAAACTTCATTTCACAGTCCTTCCTTGTGCACTGAGTAAATCATTCAGAAAGAGCTGTATTCTAGGGCTTCATTTGACACCAATGTTACAAACATTTCAATTAGTAAGACAAAAAGGTGTCACCTCCTATATGCATTCTTCTGTCAGAATGATTATAGTAAACAAGTGTGTGCTTTCTTTGAGGCACCTGAAAGTGATTAAAAATCCATTTCAAATTAAGAACAAATGTTAATTTCCTTGCTTGCCCCCGCTGCTCACATTCATTGCATAGTTCCTGCTGTTGGTCCCAACTGTTCCTAACATGGGAACTAGGTCACAATTTACAAAACTCATTTGCATCATAATATGTGAATCTGAAAGTCTTGCAGTTTGTTCTCTGATCTGATGGAGATCGTCTGGGGTAGAGGCATAAGGCTACATTTAAATTACTGGGTTATCACATGATTTACATTATCTGGCAAGTAGGCATTTATATGGAATTGTGATCCTAAAGCCATTCTGGAGCGTGGTTTATAATAGAATGAAAGGATATCACACTTTTCATAGTGAAACAAGACTGTGATCAAGCATTGTCAGTGCTTGCAGCAGAAAGAAGGCTGGTTTGCTGCTATTTCTGAGCAGCGTAAGTGGGGACTGTGTGAGAGACCAGCACAAGCTGGAACCATTAAAGAATTGTTATGTAGCTTTTGATGTTTGTTTGTAAAGTTCACACTATCTCTCTGAGGTTGTGGGTATCTCTGTCTAGCATGAGGAGTGCCATGTCAAGAGAACCCAGCCCGGGGTATTTTGGTCGGTGTAACTGCATAAGTACAGTACTTGACTCGCTCTTAAAATTCTTGCAAAATCTTGATAAACCCAGCACCAAATTAAAACCAGCCAAGTTAAAATGTTTTTCCTTAAAAGTATGATTTGTATGTGGCAGTATCGAGTTTGCTTTATTAACCAGTAATTGACAGCATTTATTATAGTTCCCATAACCTATTCTATGAAAGTTTATTTAAGACAATCCCAGAAGCGTAACTGAATCACTTCCCTTTAAATTTATGTGGAAAGCCTGTTGCTGTGGATTTTTTTAGCAAGCAACACAAACATTGCGTTTCGGCAACAGGACCAAAGGAATGTGAAACACCCAGAGGAAGTTTGTTTCCAGTTCTGAGGTTTGGAGGTCGCTGTCTCAGGGAAATGGTCTGTGTTGGAGGGCTTGTAATGAGTCTGCGGGCTAGACAGGCTGGATGTTTTGTTTGTTTGTTAATGCTCTGTTGGTTCTTGGTCGGTGTGTACCACAGTGGCAAGCACAGCTTCATGTTCGAATGCTGCAGCAAATTAAGACTCAGCCTGGTGCCTGCTCCAGCTTCAGGTTTTGCTCTAACTCTTTTGGCAGGTGTTTGCTGGCTGGGAGCGGTGACCCTGCTTGTGTGTCTGGGCTGACTTTGTCCTCAGTCTTGGTTCTCTGTTTCTGCATGACCCGTGTCCTCCTCTGAACTTTTTCTCATAAGCTGCTGCTGTCCACAGGCAGGCCGTGAAAATGGAGGGTTGTAGGTGGAGGCTGGCCAATATGGAGAACAGCAGGAAGCCCGAGCAAGGCTGTAACTGCGGAGTTCTTGCATGGTCTCTGGAGCAGAAATGTGATGGTGTGCCATAGGTTGTGTTTAGCCCAAATAGGTATTGCAGGAGGAGAAGCTAAGCTAGTACAGTTGCTTTTGATCTGTTCCTGAACAACTAATAGTAGCTATACGAAATATACTTTCATGAACAGCACTATTTAGACAGGGAAATTCTACAGTGTTCCTGCATCTGATCATTTCTCTCTTGCTGAGAGTATTGTTTAGGCTCATAATGGGAGCAGCCATAAAGGTGACCTGGTTATAAGGGGGAAAATACTGAAGATGGCCTCTGTTCAAATACTGACAGAGAAGATGCCTGCCAGCCTGGGAACCAGGCCTGGGAACCAAAGGCGTCCTTGAGGAGTGCAGCTGGCACCTCTGAAGTGCAGCTGGATCCTGAGAAACCAGAGACATCCCGAGATACCATTGATAAGTGCAAGAACAAGGAACTGTAACAGCAACTTACCATCTGGAAAGGTGAAAAAACAATCTGGAAAAGGGGGGGAAACATCCTGAGAAAATAAGCATTGGTAACTGCCATTGGCTGTTTCTAATTCACAGGACAGAAAAACAGCCTGATAAAACAAAAATTGGTCTGAGAGAGCAGAAAACATCACCAGTTGTTGGCTGTGCCAGGTGAAAAATAGAAATTCGGAGCATCTATTGGCTGCTCCAAGTGGTGGCGTCCTACGCCCCTTTATGTCTCTGTGTATAAAAAGGACTTACTTTTTACCCAAAATGGAGCCTTTTTCATGCACACAAACCCTTTTACTCATGAGATTTCCTTGGCAGAGCAGACCCTCGACAGGGCCACTGGGCTGACTCCGGGCTCCGTGGTGCGGATCATCATCCAAGTGAGACTTCATCCAACTGGCCCCACTTCTGGGATGGGTTTGATGAGCACTTGGTACCGGTAACATTTTTTAATACATATATATATATATATATATAAATAAAGGCCTGCATGTAAGTAGTTACTGATAAGTATATTTGCTACTTTACTAGTGGTAATTCTGCAGTAATTTATAATGTTGAAATACAGACTTGCTGCTAATATTAATTACTGCTGTACGTTTGCTTTCTGGTAGTAATTTGTAGTAACCTGTAGTATAGATATATTTGTTTTGCCAGTCATAACTATACTTGTCTTGGTAGTAGTAATCTGTAATGAAGTAAAGAACATAGGTAATAAATCCCCCGTGTCTGTGCATGACGGAGTCCTGCGAACGGTTGTAATCTTTGCACACCTGCAGGTCAGGTAACCCTTCTGGGTTGTGGCATTAATTGGCATCAGAAGTGGGGTTCT